ATCATGGTGGAGTAGAAATATTTTCTTCTTTTCTCTTTCTTTAAAATTAAATTTGATTTTACATCACAATAAAAATTGAAAATTTGTTATTCTTTTTTAACAGAAATTAAAAAATTATTTATAGCAGTTAAGTTTTGAAATAACAATGCACGCAGCAACATATCCTTCCACTTTCTTTCTTTTTTTAATAATCTATGCTGTAAACACATCAAAATATTTTTAATATTTAATATTTATGCTCTTTCGTACTTCCGAATTACATATATCTTTGATGGTTAAGAGTTGGCAGGAAATCGATATCTAATCTCTATTTCAAGAGTGTCATTCCTCTTAAATGGATTCCAGACAAACTTCGAATATTTGCTAAACATTAATTAACATTTAACATGCCCTTTTACTATTTTAACATTTAACAGTTCACAGTAAAAACAAAACCATTATAGTTATATCAGTCATTGCATGTAGGTGTAAAAGGTTAAAAAAATTGTTTTTATGAAACATTTTTATGTAAAAAAGAAGAGGAATTTAAGCATAAATTTTAAAATCCTTTTTAAGAAAATATAATTCTTAACAAACTAATTTTCAATAACATCAATTTTCATCGATATGTACATCACGTAACAAATAAAATTTTGCTGAACTGCATTGACCTAGTTGATTAAAAATTTATCGAAAACAACAGGTCACTCAAATTGCCTACGAATACTTCATCCAATAAAAGCGATAAAAAATATATTGAGGGAAAAATACCAAATATGGAGTAGACACACCATTTACATTTTATTTTATAAAACATTTGTTTTTTAATTTAACCGCTGAATATTTGTTTATTTGAAATCGTTGTATCATCTATATATGTGAAAAATATTTATTAGATTTGAAAGATATATATTGGTAAAATATACGAAATTCTATAAAAATATCAAATATTAAAAATATTTAAAATTGACAAATTTACACCTGAAAAAAAGAATTCAAACATAAAATATTTTATAAAATTATACAAATTTTATAGTTTTCGTTATGTATTAAAATATTACATTGTTATGAAATAAATTATAAATTCTAATCGGCATTAAAGATATTGTAATATGAATATCAAAACGTAAATATTAAACATTATTAAATTTTCAAAATTTTGTAACTGAACTAGGCATAAACTGAACTAGGCAAAAACATCCTCAGAAAGTAATCTGTACAATAACAAAAACGTTTAGTAACGTTTGATATAGTTATCGTACAAATTCTGTTTATAAAATATTAATATTTTATGTTAACAATGTGTTCCTATTTGATATTTTTATTTTGCGTTGCTGTGGCAGAACTTGTAAGAATCATTATTCTTTTACACTAAAATATTATATATGAAACAGCTCAGTAAGTAATCAGAAATTTAGATCGGTATGTTTTATCGTAACCATAGTAATAATTAACCATAGTAATAATTAACAATAACACAAAAAAATTGATGAATATAATTCATCACAAGTAATCATGCCAATAAGAGCCGACACATGCTGTTGATGCGTATATATTTATTCAAGTATATATAAAAAATTAATTATGCAAACATTTCGATCCTTTTTCAGGATCATCTTCAATGCTATTGTATTTAAGTTAACGCTTTCATTGTGAATATCAAGAATTAAGAATTAAAACTAGAGTTACAATTAAGTCGCTTTTTCTCTCTCATATTACATAGTTCCTACAGATTAACTAAATAATAAATTAATTACATATATAAGTAAGTAAAGTACAGGTTATATTTTAACAAACTTATATATTAAATCATGTTAAATTGTTGTTGTCCGTTCGTTATGGATCTCGTATAAGGATACGATAAACAATCGATGTGTTTTTCAGGTTCAATAATTGTTGTGAAGAGGGAGAAAATCTCACGTTGTAAATAATATAAATATCTGAGTATGCAGAATTTAACAGATCAGTATCATTTTTTAAATTTATCTTTTATATATACTTGAATAAATGCATACACACCAACAGCATGTATCGGCTTTTATTGATATTATTTGTGATGATTTTATTCGCTAGAGCCTAGATCTCATATTATGATGAATATAATTATATGATAAATATTTAGGCTTTCTGGCATTGTTTATCGTTAACATCATTAATTAATGAGGTAAAATTAGCGAATATAGTTATACAATTAATTACATTGCAAGGTCATATTCCTTTAGCTTTAGATAAAAATATAGATAATCTTTATTATATAAGTAATAAAATATATTTATGCAGATTGAAGAATTTAAACAAATAATCAAAAAAAATTCACATTGCTATCGAAAATATAAAATGTACTGAATATATTTAAAAACAATTTTAAAAATGTAACATATAATATTCTAAATTTTTAGAATTTAAACAACCGATAAACTTAGTTAAAAGAAAATTTATTTTATATTTTTGATAGGAACGAGATTAATTCTACTCCGTTTTAAGTTTAATTCTACATATTATCATAACTTTATGTAAGATAGACGCATTAGTAAATGAATTTATTTATTTGTATAAAACATAAATTTATAATTAAAAAAATTATAGTTTGCTCACACAAAAATCATATAAACAGATAAAAGTAAAATAAAATATGTTCTATTTTTTATTGTATTTTATTTTTTGAGACATTATAAAAAATACGCGAACAAATTTTTTAGTATTAATTTTATCAATACTAACTTCGAAATTTTTCTTGCGTTATTTTCGTCATTTTGTACAAATATATTTTTTTAGAAATTATCTAAAAATAAATAAATGGATAATTTTAATTTAACTCAATCGCCGATACGTCTACCGTAATATATAATATTTTTTAAACATCGGAAACGATATGAATGGCAGAAGTCTACCCAGAAAAGTAAGACTTATATTGGTCAAAGCTATAACAGTTGCCTTTACAACTCTGCACCCTGTAGACAATAATACATCGTGTATAACAATACAACATACAAACATGTATGTGAAACAGTCAAATCCTTCGATTAAATTAGGAATGATATCTTTCGATATGATAATATAATAACTATAGAAATATTTTATACAGCTCAGCGTTGTGCGATATAAATAAATATAATCAAATACAAATATTCTAGAATAATAATAAACTAAACTAATATATAAATATTGTATAAAATATATAATTACAATGTTGCGTTATATTTAATATTTTTTAGAACATCAGTTATTTATCGGATCAGTCTATTTACATTTATGAGATACGTATTTTTAACTTTCGAGACTTGCATTTATACATTTATATATTTAATTACAAAATTAAACGTCACAACGTGAAAAATAAATAAAAATAGTAATTTAAAGAAAGAAATATATTAGTGACATTAACAGTATTTTTGTGCAATTTTTTTCTATTAGATGTCAGAAATATATG